AGGGTCACATATATATATATATATATATATATATATATATATATATATGTAATATAATTGGGCTTTTAATGTGTGCTTTTAACACTTAAAATGGTTAACAAATGGCCATTTTTAAGTAATTTAATTCTGTAATTGAATAAAAAAAAAAGCACTTTGCAAGTTGCATTGAACTGCACCCACAATATGAAAATGCATCTTTTCTGCAGGATGTCCAAACAGAGGTTCCTTCTCACCTGCTGCATCTGAAGGTGGAGCTGGAGAAGAGTCGTCTGATGGCATCAGTGCAGGAGTGTCAGGCTGAAGTGGCCCGTGAGAACCGCAGTATGCCCAGCATGGGCAGCGAGAGGTTAATCAAAGAGCACCGGGTGAGTGCCACCAGCATTACACCCCTCTGTAAGCAATCTTTCTGACCTTGGAAATAGGCAATGCTTATATTGGATATTTTTATGTAGATGTTTTTTAAGGAAAAGGGTCCAGAGGCTCTTTGTGAGAAGCGCTTACAGCATATGGAGGAGCTGTGCTCGAAGCTTCCGGAGAGCGAACAAGCCCGGCAAACTTTAGAGAACGCCAGGACAGCGTTTGCAGAGGTCAAAGAGGATATTGACAGCACACATCAGAAACTAATGCAGCACCCGGACAAATGGAAGGAGTTTAATACCAGGTGAACCTTTTGTCCTTTCAATATTTAATTTTAATTGGTTAGAAAATTAATATTCAGTAATATTATCCATTTAACTGCACTATCGGATAAGAATATTTGAATTAAGAAGGATTATGACACTGATTTTAGCAGTTATTGAACTGAATTGACTCGATATTGAATGGATTTGAGCTGAATAATCACACTATTGTCTTCTGTAATGTCATTATTCAGCTTAGTTCAGTTCTATGTTGATTCAGTTCAGTTCAATAACTGTGCAAAGTTAAAGGGTTAGTTCACCCAAAAACGAAAATTCTGTCATTAATTACTCACCCTCGTGTTGTTCGAAACCCGTAAGACCTTCGTTCATCTTCGGAACACAATTTAAGATATTTTTTATGAAATCAGAGAGCTCTCTGACCCTCCCATATGCAGCAAGGTAACTACCATGTTCAAGGTCGCGAGCACGTCATCACGCCGGATCTGGGTCAGCGCCGGCACCGCCACACGCTTGCCTCATGATTCTGTCATGAACGCGTGTCCAAAGTGACGCAGTAAAGACGAAAATGTGGAATAAAGTCGTTATTTTTGTTTTCTTTGCGCAAAAAAGTATTCTCGTAGCTTCGTAACTTTACAGTTGAACCACGGTATCACTACGCTTCAAAATTTAAGTATTGACTTGGTAGGTACTTTTGACAACACTACCTGTAGCTCAAACAGTAGAATTTTGGATATCTGTAAAATGCATAAATTTAAATCTAAATCTATTTGAAAAATGTACATGTGTACATTTGATAGAACTTAATGTTGTTTAACATCAAACTAGCATATAAATGAACTCAAGTCTAAAAGACATGGATTAAAATCCATAAAACTACAATTATGACTTTATGGGTCTTATTAAAGTTATTAAAACATTAGGACATTAAAACATTTTTTACATAAAAAAAAAACAACATAAGAAATTGATAATTTCCCCCCAAAAGAGCAGTACCTTGGCTGCAGCCAGCATTAGTGTTCTGTATCTTGAACATGGAGACTATTGTGGAACAGTAAAGTATATTTACTTCCCTATACTTACATACTTGCAATCCCAGCAAACACTGGCTTACATACCATATTTACAAACACTGCTTTTGCCACATCCAGCCATTCTGTCCAGACCTCTGCAAATTTGAACGTGGCACAAAATTATACACTGCGACAAAAATCAACAAAAATGTACCACTGGCTTCACATAATGCCAATTTCGATTTCAACGTAAAAGCAATACTTGATGCGAGGGCTGAAATCAGTTATAGGAACCGAACTAAGAATAGCGTGAAGTATGTTTCTTCATTGCATTTTAATCATAATTTCAAGTCTGGCTTCTGGGGCTTTTCCAGTATTCCAATTCCTCCTCCCAGTGTCACATACATTAACAAGAGTCTCAGAAAGCCGATGTGCCTGCCAGTGGCAAAGAAAGGACGATTCTTGCTGCTGTCTTTACTTTATATTTGTGCAGCCATCTGCAGTAACAGGCATAAGTGATAATTAGCCATTAGTCATCAGCTGATCCCATTTCTGCCCTTGTTAATTACCACGCCAGCGCCAGTGCAGGAACGAGGGTGATCTGCTCATATTTTTCCACACTGAGATGTCACTCATCACTTACTCTGAATTCTCTCTGATTGGCTGGCCCTACGACTGATGAAGATGGCTTGGTGCAATGATCATAACAGTTAACAGTATGCAGTGATTGACAGGATACTGCTGAATCCTCCCGGTCAAGTTCATTTCTCTCTTTACCAACCTTATTGCTCAGTGTTATTGCGCTGATTACAGGAGACACGATTTGGCAGAATCAGGCTCCTTTGCCTCCTGTTTCTCCTTCAGCTGTGACAGTGCTAGTCCTCAAGATCACAGCAGGGCAAGCGCTAAATTTGCTTAAATACTGTCAGCGATGTCTTAAATATCATCCCTGTTGAGATTAATCATTTGTGTGTTTTTATATGATGCTAATACAAACCGTGGTTTCACATCACACCAGGAGATACTTCAAGTCTACTTATTTCAATGCAAGTTCACACAGTGCTTAGGCAGTTTGTGTTCATAGAACAGGCATCTTAATTCCCTCTGAAGCTTCGTGGCAGTTGACAGTTTCTGTTATGCTGTATTGTTGCATTGAACCTTTTCTTGTCTCATTGGCTATCATCCCTTGATGCCTCTTTTAACACATTGAGCTTTGACAAACCATGATCTTAAGAACAGCAGGCATCTTTCATTTTGAGCAGCCAGAATTTACATGCACACAAATATGCACTGAAATATTCACTGAAATTCTCATGGTTTCAGTCAGCTATTCATAGTTTCAGTGTTTTAGAACACATTTGTGCCATATCACCCTTAAAGGGTTAGTTCACCCAAACATTCTGTCATTAATTACTCACCCTCGTGTTGTTCGAAACCCGTAAGACCTTCGTTCATCTTCGGAACACAATTTAAGATATTTTTTATGAAATCAGAGAGCTCTCTGACCCTCCCATATGCAGCAAGGTAACTACCATGTTCAAGGTCGCGAGCACGTCATCACGCCGGATCTGGGTCAGCGCCGGCACCGCCACACGCTTGCCTCATGATTCTGTCATGAACGCGTGTCCAAAGTGACGCAGTAAAGACGAAAATGTGGAATAAAGTCGTTATTTTTGTTTTCTTTGCGCAAAAAAGTATTCTCGTAGCTTCGTAACTTTACAGTTGAACCACTGATGTCACACGGACTACTTTGTCGATCATCTTGGTACTTTTCTGGACCTTGAACGTGGTAGTTACCTTGCTGTCTATGGGAGGGTCAGAGAGCCCTCAGATTTCATCAAAAATATCTTAAATTGTGTTCCGAAGATGAACGAAGGTCTTACGGGTTTCGAACAACACGAGGGTGAGTAATTAATGACAGAATTTTCGTTTTTGGGTGAACTAACCCTTTAACTTTGCACAGTTATTGAACTGAACTGAATCAACATAGAACTGACCTGAGCTGAATAATGACATTATTGCCTTCTGTCAAGCTGCTTTACTGTTGAATTGTATTCGCTTCATAACTATTGAATTTTGCAACGTTCCCTCTGTTACTGACCTAAATTGAATCAAAACTGAACTAAATTGAGCTAAATAATGACACTATTGTCATTTTCGAGCTGCTATACAGCTGAAATGGTATTTGTTTCATAATTGATGGATTTTAGTGCATTATTGCTGTTATTTTCTTGTGTATTAATGTGAAGCTGCTTTGAAAAAATCTGTATTGTATAAATTGCTATATAAATAAATGTGACCCTGGACCACAAAACCAGTTTTAAGTCGCTGGGGTATATTTGTAGCAATAGCCAAAAATACATTGTATGGGTCAAAATGATCGATTTTTCTTTTATGCCAAAAATCATTAGAATATTAAGTAAAGATCATGTTCCATGAAGATATTTTGTAAATTTCCTACCGTAAATATATCAAAACTTAATTTTTGATTAGTAATATGCATTGCTAAGCACTTAATTTGGACAACTTTAAAGATGATTTTCTCAGTATTTTGATTTTGTCGCACCCTCAGATTCCAGATTTTCAAATAGTTGTATCTCAGCCAAATATTGTCATTTCCCAACAAACCATACATCAATGGAAAGCTTATTTATTCAGCTGATGTATATATCTCAAAAAGAATTTAAAAAAAAATTACCTTATGACTGGGTTTGTGGTCCACGGTCACAAATGTGACTTAAATATTGTATTGTGGCATGTAAAATCACTGCTGATATAAATTAATTTTAATTTATAGAATATTGACAATATAATTAGATTTTGTTTGTGTTTGCAGGTTCTCTGAACTCTCCGCCTGGGTTACATCGAAGGAAAGTCAACTCAGACTTCTGCGAAACAGAGCTGGAGACCCCAGCAAGTTTGGACAGGTCAAATCCACTATAGAGGTGAGAAACAAAGATGAAGTGGGAAGAAACTGAATGCGACAGCTGTGTGAAATCTTGATTGATCGCCACTTCATGATTTGCAGAGTCTGAGAAACGATGCTGAACTGCAGGAGGGGAACGTGAGCTGGTTGAAGACACGTTTGGCTGCTCTGATAGAGGTTTGCACAGAGAGTGATGCTCAGAGACAGGGAGCTGCTCTCAGCAAACTCTCCAGTGACTTTAAGGGTCTCCTCACATCCCTTTCTGAGGTAAGACATACTCATTTTAAGAACAAATTCAAATAAATCATCTGCCATATGGGAAAATATCAAAGTAAATCAGCTGCCAGCTGATATCTATATATTTTATAGAACCTAGAGCCTGGAGGTGAGGATTTTGAAAGCAAATTTAAAAATATAATTTTTCTATATTATTATATATTAAGTATACATGAAATATATATAATATAGATATAAATTGTATATAATATAATATATTTTATATAATATATTATATGTGACCCTGGACCACAAACCCAGTCATAAGGGTACATTTTTCAAAATTGAGATTATACATAATCTGAAAGCTGAATAAATAAGCTTTCCATTGATGTATGGTTTGTTAGGATAGGACAATATTTGGTTGAGATACAACTATCTGGAATCTGAGGGTGCAAAAAAAATCTAAATATTGAGAAAATTGCCTTGAAAGTTGTCCAAATGAAGTTCTTAGCAATGCATATTACTAATCAAAAATTAAGTTTTAATATATTTACAGTAGGACATTTATAAAATATCTTCATGGAACATGATCTTTACTTAATATCCTAATGATTTTTGGCATAAAAGAAAAATCGATAATTTTGACCCATACAATGTATTTTTGGCTATTGCCACAAATATACCTCAGCGATTTAAGACTGGTTTTGTGCTCCAGGGTCACATATTATATATTTTCTGTATATTTTGAAGCTGGAGGTGATATGTGATATATAGAAAATATCAATGTAAATCAGCTGTTAGCTGCTATGTATAAAGTAAACGAGTCAATTTTTTGAAGTATTTTCTTTGGATTAAACAACTTTTTGTTGAGATTATGTAGTTTTGCCCACATTTGCCCTATCGCCCACTCATAATGGTTTCTAATTTTGGTTTCAAACTTTTACATGACCATTTTCCACCCTTTTAGAATGAAACTGGCTGTTTTTGCTACTGTGTCTTGACTTGAAAGTGTTACGATACTTTTAAATATTAATAAGAGATCGTATGTGTGTGTTGTGATAGTCAGAGAAGGTCGTGCTGGCGGTGAGCGACTGTGTGCAGTTCAGAGAGGAGGTGAAAACTACACTGGAGGAGTTGACACAGGGTCAGCAGGAGCTGCAGTCAGTGACCAGCAAGATTCTGAACTCTGAGTCCGTCAGAGAAGCCCAACAACTGCTGCTGCTTCATCAGGTGCCACCCTCACTGCAACCATGTTATATCATAGCTGATAGCTGAAAATCATATTTATATCTAACATTCATGTGCTTTCCTAATGTGCAGCAACAACTCAAGCGTCTCCGGCTCAAGAGGAAGGAAATGCAAGAGCAGATAAACCGTGGGAAGCAGCTGCAGGTAGAGGAGGGTCTGGAGGAGAGCTTACAGGAAGACCTGCAGAAACTAGAGGCTACCTTGAGTGAAATGGATCAAAGCACAGAGTCACAGGAAAAGAACCTGGAGGTGAGAATGGCTAAGTCAAATAAAATAAAATAATTATGTATTTTAGATGTTATGTACATGTTACAGAACCTGGAGGTGAGAATGAAATTTTATTTAATTCAATATATTGTGTTTTGAATGCAGTTTCACGTCGATTTTTATTATTTATTTTTATTTTTTATTAAGCAGATAATTTCAGTTTCTGACTTTGAAACAATGTCCGTCTCTGTTGTCAGGTGACTTTAGCTGCTTGGCAGGAGTTTGAGGGTCAGCAGGCAGCAGTGAGGGAGTTTGTGGGTAAAGTGCGATCGGTCACAGAGAGAGAGATGAACTTCAGCAGTCCAGACAGTCTCAGCACAGAGCTGGAGCAGGCCAAGGTGAGAATAACACTTGATCTCCAAGGGCTCTGTGTAATGAATCACGAGCGTCTTTATTTTGAAAACAGAAGAGCTGCGAGAGCTTTTACAACCAAAATCCTCATTAGAAAATCTGCTCTGGCCATACACTGAATGAGCCTCATTACAAGCCATTGTAAAATAGCCAATAAACACTCAACTGTAAACAGCCTACAGGCTAATCAACTACAGGCTTTAGTTTTGAAATGGTTTGCAATCATTTGGTTTATTCTGCCTCACAAAAACAAAACAATACCACGGACATTTTCACTTCATCTGTTGCTATTGTTCCTGCAGGAGCTCCTGAAACAGTGTGAAACAGAGGCCAGACAGGTGAACACTCTTCTCAAGAGGGCCACAGAGATCCAGTTGGGCCCCAAAAATCACTCTCTCCTCCGGGATCAAGCACGTGCTCTGAGTGAACAAGTGGACAAAGTTGAGACTGGACTCAAGCGAGAGTAATACCTTACTTTATTTCATAGATTTTACGCTGAGATTATTTAGACAAATGTATTAAACATAATCTGTGAATTCATTATGAATCCATGAGGCCGTTTTTTGATTACTGCTGTATATAATTTTTCAGTGTGAAGACTTTGGAGGGGATGAAAGATCAGTGGGATACTTTCGGGAGTGAGTTTGAAGCATTTTCCACATGGATAACGGAGAGGGAAAGAGAAATGGATGCCTTGAAAACCTCCAGCACACCTTTGGACCAGCAGATCTGTACCGTAAAGGTGTGAAAATAAATATATAATTGATTAAAAAAATAAACAACATGTCTTTGGAAATGTTTGAAATGACTGCATGGCTTCTGTATTTATTTAAAAACTTTTCTATTACTCTATAAAAAAAACTATTTATTCAATTGAAAATATTCTATATATTTTAGATCATTAATTTTTTTTCTCAAAAAAACTTGACTGTATAATAATTGTATTAATATAAATTATTATAAATGCATTAGTTTATAATTAATGTCGTATTCTTTAATTTAGTATTTTTAGATTTTTTGTTAATATCTTTTATATTTCTAATTGCATATCTTGTCATTTAATGTCACTAAACATTTAATTGTTGCTTGTCATTTAATATCAACTAATTTTATTTATTATTTTATTTAATGTGTTAAGTTACACATTTATTATGCATAGGTGTGGTCCTCCGTTTATAAACTGAAAAGCTTATATTACACTTATAGTATTTTTTTTAAATTCTTTATCAGATTAACTATTTGTGACCCTGGAGCACAAAAGCAGTCTTAAGTCGCTGGGGTATATTTGTAGCAATAGCCAAAAAAACATTGTATGCGTCAAAATTATCGAATTTTCTTTTATGCCAAAAATCATTAGAATATTAAGTAAAGATCATGTTCCGTGAAGATATTTTGTAAATTTCCTACCGTAAATATATCAAAACTTCATTTTTGATTAGTAATATGCATTGCTAAAGACTTCATCTGGACAACTTTAAAGATGATTTTCTCAATATATAGATTTTTTTGCACCCTCAGATTCCAGATTTTCAAATAGTTGTATCTCGACCAAATATTGTCCTGTCCTAACAAACCATACATCAAAGGAAAGCTTATTTATGTATAAATCTCAATTTCAATGACCCTTATGACTGGTTTTGTGGTCCAGGGTCACATTTCAATAAAATGCAATTTTCTATATAAACTCCCGCTGACATTGCAGCATTTCGTCTCTTATATTCTGGTGGGCAGACAATCAGAGAAGGTCTGCAGGAGAGGTCACAGGTCCTGTCCAACTTGGAGGAGAAATCTCAAGCGCTGGTCCAGTTTGTGTCGTCTGGCGAATCTGCACGAATCAAAGCCCGTCTCACACAGATTGGCAGATACTGGGAGGAGCTTAAGGAGAGTGTGGAACATCTGAATGGACAGTTGGAAGAAAGCTCCTCCCACCAGACGAAGTTCAATGCCAACCTTCAACAGGTACGTTTGAACATGCCGTTTACTGCGATCTTACTGAAGTCTTATGTTGTCTAATGACATTGCGTTCTTTTAAAAGGTACAATCAGAGGTTGAAGATATCCAGAAGAAACTTGACAGCCCTGTCACCTCCTGCGTGTCTTCATCCGAGACCTACAAAACTCTACAGAGTCACATGGTATGATCACTGCATGATCATTTCTCATTTATTTGCACCAGTTCAGCCTGAATAAGTGATTGGTTTGGTTTTCAGGATATGTTCCAGTCCCTGGAAAAGCTGAAGGCCACCCTGCTGTCCCTGTCTGCTGGCGCCCGCAGGCTCAGTGATAGAGAGAAGGCCGAGAGAGCCGTAGCGGCCCTGCAGCAAAGTTACGAGCAGGGTTTAAAACAGGCCAAGGAAAAACAGAACCAAATGGAGAGCCTTCTGTCACACTGGCAAAAGTATGTTTGCTGTCTCTGTTGGTATCTAACATCAAATTATGAAGCCAACCTTCACATATTTATTTAAATCTCTTGATTATTTTGTCTATTTCAGGTATGAAAAGGATTGGTCTGCCCTGCAGTCATGCCTGGAGAGATGTGAATCCATATCCAGCCCTGACTCTCAGTTCCTCCCGGTTGACAAACTAAAGCTGGATGGAGAACTGCTGGAACTGAAAGTAATAAATGAAATAAAGCATGAAACAACATTCACAATGTATTTGACTTCTATAATGTGACACATTTCTGTGTGAAACAGAATATTTAGCTGGAAATAATGATTGACATGCTTGGTTTTATCCATTGGGATTTAAGTGAATTGTGAAAAGTCGACCTATAATAATGGTTAATGCTATTTTTCATCTCTTCATTTTAAAAACAAAGCTATTTCAAAACTATTTGTGATGAAAAGTTAATACATTTAGTTTTTCTTTAGAAAATGGCAGGGACATTTAATATTAGAAGTGAAATATTTCAATTTCATATTGTTTCTTAAACTTCTTTTAAAGCACCTACAGAGTGAACTTCAGTCTCTGGAGTCAGTTTACAACAGGCTGGTGGCCCAAACACCAACTCTTTACACCACTGCATCAGATGAACGTGTGAAAACACTCAAAGAAGACCATGAACAGCTTGAGAAAAGATGGAAGTGTCAGACCACAGCTATACCTCAAAGGTCAGTCATATTAAGCATAAGCTGCATTTGTTTAAAGAGGCCATCTTTAGGTTTCTTGCATCAAAAATAGTTGTAATTAAGCTTCGGATGACTATTTTCCAACCTTTCTCTGACAGCTGTTTTTTGCTATTGTACTTTTGATACTCTTATAAATAAATGGCCTCTGTTATGATTATCCAAACTCCATGTGCTGGCATAAATCAGGCTGTTGTTCATGAGGGTGGATCAGTATGTTAATGTACTTATGTATGTTTGTGGCTTACATTTCATAAATGGTCTGGGTGGAGTGAGTGATAAACTTTGCATAAAAAAAACTGAGTATGTCTAACATAGTACTGTTCATCAAACTCTTCATCACAGAATCCAAGTGCTTCAGGAGCACCTTTCTCAGGTGGAGCAGTTTGATCAAGCCCTGCAGAACTTCTTCAAATGGGGAGAGTCTTTCCTCTCAACTCTACATTCGTTTTCTCACGTTGATATCACTGATCTTCAACCTTCCACCAGTGATATCAAGGTATGTTCTATTATGAGAGCCTCCATTCAGTATGTGGTATGTAATTGGTATGTTGAAACTAAAAAGTGATAATTAGAGAAATGTTTATGTTGCAATTTTTGAGAGAAAATAATAATTCATGCATAGTAGCTGCTGAAAATTCAGCTTTGCCATCACAGGAATAAATTACATTTTAAAATATATTAAAATAGAAAACAATTATTTTAATTTATTATATTTTTTCACAGTATCACCGCTTTTACTGTAGTTTTGATCAAATAATTGCAGCCTTGATGAGAATAATAGATTGGCCGATAATGGCAAAATGTAAATATCGGCATCGGCCCGATATGAAAAATTATGCCGAAATGTCTTGCCAATAAGAGGAATACATTAACTCGCATCTGCTCAGTGTGTGCTAGAGATTAGATCACGTCAGCATGTGGCTCATTCTTGATGCAAAGTTTTGCCTGAAAGATGATTAGATTCACTGATTTAGATCACTGTATTTAAACTGAGAATGCACGTACAGAATGACACGTTCGGTGTATGATAGTGTAAACAGTACTATAGCAGGTGCAATGGCAGCAGCGACAGCCTCCCCCGGGTCCTAAAGCCCGTTCAGTAAGGAGTTTTAATTCCGTAGGGGGCACTGTTGGCCTACTTCTAATAAAATATAGAAACTATAATAAAAGTAAAAAACACAAATAACATTTAGACTGAAGCTATGTTTCCATCACCCTGTTTTTATGCGCATTTTGAAGTATCGCATCAGAAACGAGTGATGGAAACTGCAAATTTCGAATAAAAATCCCTTAATTTGCAAAAAAGTTTTTACGCTTGCTTGAGGTGGTTATTGACTTGTGCGAAAAAGGGTTAATGCGAATAAAAGGAGATGGAAACGCATTTGCCGAGTAAATTCCTCCATGCGCATCAGAAAAGTCATGTGACTTTGCGCTATGGGACGGCAAAACCTAACCAGTGGACCAATCTCGTTCCTCAGCATCTGAAATGTTATGGTCATTTTGAAATGTCTGAGAAAAGTGTGTCATTAAAGTATTTCTGTATAATTGCCTCCCAGAAATGTTACACGACTGCGTTCCCAAACAGCAGCATCCACTTCCAAAAGCAATGACCGCATTTATTTTGTTTCGTCTGCTTGCTCTGAGGCGCAAGTCATTTATTATATAGGCCTATGAATATTAGGTTTCTCCTACTTTTCATAGTGATATATAGCCTAGTGCCAGTTCTACCAGGAAGTGATGATTTTGTTATCTTTGACTCGTTGGATGGAAATGGTGCTTATTCGCAAATGTTTTATGCGATATTTCAATTTTGCACATAAGTTAAATTCGCAACTTTGGATGGAAACCCGGCTTGTGTTTCTGATTAAATAAAGTATCGGCTATTGACCAAAATGAGTTGAAAAATATCGGCATATCGGCAAAAATCCAATATCGTGCATCCCTAATAGATTTCTTTCAAAAACACAAAAAACTTACAAACCCCAAATTTTAAAAGGTAGTTTTATGTAAATATTGTGAATGTCAATCAAATTAAATGTTTTAATTGTCTGGATGTTTTGAAAATTATTGCATTATGAATATTTGATGAGAAATTCTAAAATTTAGGTTATTGTGCCAGAGAAAGGACATCTACCAATTTGAGGAACTTGTTTTATTCTGTTGATACTTTTAAAAAGGTTTTTAACCAAGGTAATCCAAATGTAGTCTTCAGGTTTTTACAAAAAAATTAACTTAAACATCATATTTAGTTTTACTTTTGAATAGCTGAACCTGGCAAAGTAACGTATTGTTTAATGTGTTAAATTGAGAACCATAGCAAATATAAAATTAGGAAAAACAGAGTATATTACCTATCTGCAGGAAGAGAAATTGTCCATTTTACAAGGCAGTATTGTTTTATCATCTTTCTCACCAGGAGAGGAGAGATGATCTGCTGAAGCAAAGTGTTCTAAGACAGAGTCTTCAGCAGCAAACTAAGACCTTGTGTGATGTTTGTGAGCAAGCTGAGGTTCAACAGCTTCAGGGAAAGTGGGAGAGCTCCTTGCAGCCATACATGGAGGCACATCAGCTGGTTGAACTACGAGGCGAGAGTCTGGAGAAGCTAGAGGCCTTCTTACACACCCATAGTGTGGCGGCCGGCGTCCTTCAGGGCCTCAGACAGACCGTGGAGAGCGCTGGGAGTTGGGATAAAAGCCGGGTGGACGAGCTGCAGAAAGACCTCAAAGCTATCGTTCCTGATATTAGTCGCCTTGAAACGCTCGCTGTGAATCTGGACGGCAGCCTCTGTAAGGCTCATCTCCACTTGATGAATGGAAAGGACACTCGATCCTCGTGCCGCTCATTGGCCGACTCCTTGAGCGTGGAGCTGGATGCTGTGAGGAACCTACTGGGCTCCAAACAAAGCGAAGCTGAGGCTCTCGGTGCTCTTTGGAGCTCGTTCAGACAGCGTAAAGAGCAGCTGCTCAAAACGGTAGAGGATATTGAGGAGAAGGCAGATAAACAGGGCCTGAAAGAGCCCAACGTGCTTACTCTACAGCAGAGGTATGGATTACTCTTTTCAACAGGGCTGTTTCTATTTCATATCTGTTGGGCTGCTTATTGAATTTGTGATGATTTTAGGCTTCGGTTCTTCAATCAGCTGGAAGATGAGCTGCAGTCACACCAGCACGAGGAGCAGTGGCTCAGGGACAAAGGTCAACAGTTGGCTCAGAGAGACGCTGAGCTGGGTGGTGAAGTACTAAGGGAAATTAACCTCCTTCAGACCACCTGGGAAGACACCAAGAAACTCATTACTGAAAGGTGAGCCACCAGTAACAGGCTCTTATACTGTATTTGTTCCACTTTGTAGTGAGATGATTAAAAATATAAATAACTTTAAGTGTAAGAAAATGTTCTTGCATACACAGTATTCATATTAATGGTTGATCAATATGTCATTGGAGAATTATTAACTAAGATTATAACTTTTACATTTGGTCCCCCCTATTTTGGATATTACATTTCATCTTTGTTGGTAGCAGACAATTGTCCTTTTTAGCCATATTTATTTTTCTTCTAGCCATTTTAATTTAATTTAATTTAATTTAATTTAATTTAATTAAATTGCCATTTTAGCCATGTTATGTTTTTTTTTTTTATTTAATATAATTTAATTAATTTAAATAGTTTTTCTTATATTCAAATCTTTAGTGGTTACGTGGTGACATTGTGGGGCATGAGTGGTCCCTTTTTAATTTTTCTAAACTAAATTTAATAAAATAAAATTAGTTAGTTTTTTTTTTGTTTTAGTTTTTAGACTTATTTATTCAGTAATGCAGTAACAATATTATGGACCTTTATGGAGAACAAACAATTGCATTTAATGTTTAATTAAAAGCACTAGTCTTTAGTGGCTACATGTTGACTTTGTGGCTCTTCAATGGTCTGATTTGATCATTGATCATGGTTTGCAACTTGGTCTAAAAGTTAGAGCATCACTTCCTGAGGGTATCAAAGTTAATTTTCCATATTTTAGTTATGCAGACGTGCAGATTTTTAGTGTCTAACTGACATTGCTGCGTGTTTTTGTCCCAGGCAAGAGCAGAGCAGCGCTTTGGTAGAGCTCATGAAGGACTACCAGAGCTTAAAGTCTTCAATAAACACAATATTGGAGAGTGCTGATGCTATAGCCGACATTAAAGCTGTCCTAAAAGACCAAGAGGACACGCGAAGATCCCTGTTGAAGGTAAAACTTGACAATCTATTTTGAAATACCAGTTAATAGAGTTACTAACTTCTACTATCCATGATAAACTTAAATGTGGGTCTTAAATGGTCTTCCTTTCTGTAGCATGAAGCTGTTAAAGCAGAGCTGGCCAGTAACCAGAATGTACTAGAGCGATTTTCAAGTAAAGGAAAGAAGCTTTTAAGTGAATTAAACAAGATCCCTGATTGCGATACCCAGATTGTGAAGACAGAAATAGATGCCACAGTGGACCAATGGCTAGATGTGAGTTTTATTGAGTCTTCAATAAAAAAACTCATATAACAGAAACTAAGAGCCGTTGTTCTGGACGAGCTGCAGAAAGACCTCGAAGCTGTTGTTCCTGATATCAGTCGCCTTGAAACGCTCGCTGTGAATCTGGATAGCAGCCTCTGTAAGGCTCATCTCCACTTGATGAATGGAAAGGACACTCGATCCTCGTGCCGCTCATTGGCCGACTCCTTGAGCGTGGAGCTGGATGCTGTGAGGAACCTACTGGGCTCCAAACAAAGCGAAGCTGAGGCTCTCGGTGCTCTTTGGAGCTCGTTCAGACAGCGTAAAGAGCAGCTGCTCAAAACGGTAGAGGATATTGAGGAGAAGGCAGATAAACAGGGCCTGAAAGAGCCCAGTGTGCTTACTCTACAGCAGAGGTATGGATTACCCTGTTCAACAGGGTTGTTTGTAATTATCAGTTGAGCTGTGTTTATTGAATTTGTGGTGTGCGTAGGCTTCGGCTCTTTAATCAACTGGAAGATGAGCTCCAGTCCCACCAGCATGAGGAGCAGTGGCTCAGGGACAAAGGTCAACAGTTGGCTCAGAGAGACGCTGAGCTGGGTGGTGAAGTACTAAGGGAAATTAACCTCCTTCAGACCACCTGGGAAGACACCAAGAAACTCATTACTGAAAGGTGAGCCACCAGTAACAGGCTCTTATACTGTATTTGTTCCACTTTGTAGTGAGATGATTAAAAATATAAATAACTTTAAGTGTAAGAAAATGTTCTTGCATACACAGTATTCATATTAATGGTTGATCAATATGTCATTGGAGAATTATTAACTAAGATTATAACTTTTACATTTGGTCCCCCCTATTTTGGATATTACATTTCATCTTTGTTGGTAGCAGACAATTGTCCTTTTTAGCCATATTTATTTTTCTTCTAGCCATTTTAATTTAATTTAATTTAATTTAATTTAATTTAATTATTTAAAATTGCCATTTTAGCCATGTTATGTTTTTTTTTTTTATTTAATATAATTTAATTAATTTAAATAGTTTTTCTTATATTCAAATCTTTAGTGGTTACGTGGTGACATTGTGGGGCATGAGTGGTCCCTTTTTAATTTTTCTAAACTAAATTTAATAAAATAAAATTAGTTAGTTTTTTTTTTGTTTTAGTTTTTAGACTTATTTATTCAGTAATGCAGTAACAATATTATGGACCTTTATGGAGAACAAACAATTGCATTTAATGTTTAATTAAAAGCACTAGTCTTTAGTGGCTACATGTTGACTTTGTGGCTCTTCAATGGTCTGATTTGATCATTGATCATGGTTTGCAACTTGGTCTAAAAGTTAGAGCATCACTTCCTGAGGGTATCAAAGTTAATTTTCCATATTTTAGTTATGCAGACGTGCAGATTTTTAGTGTCTAACTGACATTGCTGCGTGTTTTTGTCCCAGGCAAGAGCAGAGCAGTGCTTTGGTAGAGCTCATGAAGGACTACCAGAGCTTAAAGTCTTCAATAAACACAATATTGGAGAGTGCTGATGCTATAGCCGACATTAAAGCTGTCCTAAAAGACCAAGAGGACACGCGAAGATCCCTGTTGAAGGTAAAACTTGACAATCTATTTTGAAATACCAGTTAATAGAGTTACTAACTTCTACTATCCATGATAAACTTAAATGTGGGTCTTAAATGGTCTTCCTTTCTGTAGCATGAAGCTGTTAAAGCAGAGCTGGCCAGTAACCAGAATGTACTAGAGCGATTTTCAAGTAAAGGAAAGAAGCTTTTAAGTGAATTAAACAAGATCCCTGATTGCGACACCCAGAAGACAGAAATAGATGCCACAGTGGACCAGTGGCTAGATGTGAGTTTGTCCGAAGGCCAATTATTGAGTCTTCAAAAAAAAAAAAAAAAACCCTCATATAACAGAGCCATTATTCTTCATATCCACACAGGTTTCAGAAAAAATCGAGGACAATCTCGAAAGTCTCAAGAGGAGCTCTGCTCTGTGGGTGGAAATCTACGATATCAGTGGAGAAATCGAAAGCTGGTCCAACAGCTCGGTTATGGATCTGACAGATGGACTCAATAACTTCAATGATAGCCAGAAAACCGCAAACAAACTCTCTGAAGTCAAGGCATGTTCCAAGCTGTGTTATTAAACACGTTCATAAAACCAGAGCAACAGTTGTGTAATTTTTTTAAATTCATTTTTCTGTCTAGGTGGATGTTGGCCTGAAAGAAAAGAAGATTGATGCTTTACAAGAGAAAGTTTCAGAGCTGAAACAACTCTGCGGTGGCCAAGATGCTCCTGCTAAACTGCAGGTAAGACTGATCTCCATTTGTTCTCCAGCTCATTGATTTTAATTTAATTTAATTTAATTTAATTTAATTATTTAAAATTGCCATTTTAGCCATGTTATGTTTTTTTTTTTTATTTAATATAATTTAATTAATTTAAATAGTTTTTCTTATATTCAAATCTTTAGTGGTTACGTGGTGACATTGTGGGGCATGAGTGGTCCCTTTTTAATTTTTCTAAACTAAATTTAATAAAATAAAATTAGTTAGTTTTTTTTTTGTTTTAGTTTTTAGACTTATTTATTCAGTAATGCAGTAACAATATTATGGACCTTTATGGAGAACAAACAATTGCATTTAATGTTTAATTAAAAGCACTAGTCTTTAGTGGCTACATGTTGACTTTGTGGCTCTTCAATGGTCTGATTTGATCAATCATGGTTTGCAACTTGGTCTAAAAGTTAGAGCATCACTTCCTGAGGGTATCAAAGTTAATTTTCCATATTTTAGTTATGCAGACGTGCAGATTTTTAGTGTCTAACTGACATTGCTGCGTGTTTTTGTCCCAGGCAAGAGCAGAGCAGCGCTTTGGTAGAGCTCATGAAGGACTACCAGAGCTTAAAGTCTTCAATAAACACAATATTGGAGAGTGCTGATGCTATAGCCGACATTAAAGCTGTCCTAAAAGACCAAGAGGACACGCGAAGATCCCTGTTGAAGGTAAAACTTGACAATCTATTTTGAAATACCAGTTAATAGAGTTACTAACTTCTACTATCCATGATAAACTTAAATGTGGGTCTTAAATGGTCTTCCTTTCTGTAGCATGAAGCTGTTAAAGCAGAGCTGGCCAGTAACCAGAATGTACTAGAGCGATTTTCAAGTAAAGGAAAGAAGCTTTTAAGTGAATTAAACAAGATCCCTGATTGCGACACCCAGAAGACAGAAATAGATGCCACAGTGGACCAGTGGCTAGATGTGAGTTTGTCCGAAGGCCAATTATTGAGTCTTCAAAAAAAAAAAAAAAAACCCTCATATAACAGAGCCATTATTCTTCATATCCACACAGGTTTCAGAAAAAATCGAGGACAATCTCGAAAGTCTCAAGAGGAGCTCTGCTCTGTGGGTGGAAATCTACGATATCAGTGGAGAAATCGAAAGCTGGTCCAACAGCTCGGTTATGGATCTGACAGATGGACTCAATAACTTCAATGATAGCCAGAAAACCGCAAACAAACTCTCTGAAGTCAAGGCATGTTCCAAGCTGTGTTATTAAACACGTTCATAAAACCAGAGCAACAGTTGTGTAATTTTTTTAAATTCATTTTTCTGTCTAGGTGGATGTTGGCCTGAAAGAAAAGAAGATTGATGCTTTACAAGAGAAAGTTTCAGAGCTGAAACAACTCTGCGGTGGCCAAGATGCTCCTGCTAAACTGCAGGTAAGACTGATCTCCATTTGTTCTCCAGCTCATTGATTTGATAACTGGTTTCATCAGCTCTACGCCATCTTCCAGGTCATGGAGACGGACCTCAGAAGGAAAATTAGTAGCATTGAAGAGTTATGTGACCAAGCCAAGAGCAACCTCCAAGATTTCTGCTCTCAGAAGAAGCAGCTGGAAGGTTTTCTCAGCCAGATGTCCGAGTGGTTGAAGAACGTTGAGAGATCTTTGGTGGATTCACCATGTGGAACAGCTCCTGAAGAAATCTGCAGAGTGAAGGTACAGAAAGTGTGTTTTTTTTCCATTTTGAAGGAAACATATTTACATTTATGCATTCAGCGGACGTTTTTATCCAAAGCGACTTACAATAGAAGAGCATAAGCTGTTCATCGTCGAGCCAGCAATATTTGTTGTATACAGTGCCATGTTTATTAGAAAGCTGAAAAATGAAAATTGAAATTTTAGCAGTTCGGGTGGATGTTGGCTTCTCATTCCACCAGAGAGGAACAGAGAGGGTGAAGGTTTTGGAAAAGGACTTTTAAAGAAATGAGTGAATTGAGGCATATCACAATTAATCAATCATAACCGAGGACATTTACTGCACATATAGAAGTTTTATAGAAGCTCTAGGGATCAGAGAGAGGGTGAAAAACGGTCAGATAACACTAAATTATGACTGTTTTGATACAAGAAACCTTGACTAACATTATAAATGGACTTTAAAGGAAATAAATCATGCATACAATTCATAGGAAATCCAAAAGGAGCTTCAGAACCAGCAGACGGGCATTGACTCAGCCCGGGAAAGCCTGAACACGCTTTGCAGAAAATACCCATCCGAGGAACTTGCCGGTCTAGGTTCCTCTCTGACCGACCTCATCAAGAAATATGAAACGGTCAATCAGCTCTGTGTTAAGAAGCTTGGCTCCATGCAGCATGGCCTCCAGCAGCACTTCAATGGTGAGAATCACTGTATTCCTGATTAAACAATGATCTTCCCTACTGATTCAAGGACAGACATTGTGGAAAGATTGTTTACTGACTGTCCACTTTGTCTTCTCTTCCCAGATCTTGTGAAGGAGTTTCATACATGGCTCTCTGGACAGAAAGACATTGTAAGAGAATGTGCCGATCATTCTGGTGACATGAGCGTGGTGGGACGCAAACTGCAGAAATTGAAGGTATTTCATCTTTTGTGACACCTCATCCAAACTGAAAGGGAAATGCAATGTAAAACACTAAAATCATAATTAAGTGCATTATGGGCATACCTAAAAACAGATACCAAGCATCAGGTAAAATGTCTTAAACCAACACTTAATGTTTGTGACTGGTTAGAAAAAAATGGAAGTTATTTGGAAGTAATGTCAAATACTATTACAATTTAAAATAACAGTTTTCTATTTGAATATACAATATTTTAAAATGTAATTTATTCCTGTGATGCAAACCTGAATTTTTTAGCATCATTACTCCAGTCACATGATCCTTCAGAAATCACTCTAATATGCTGATTTGCAGCTCAACAAACATTTCTTATTATTATTAATTAATGTTGAAAACAGTTGTGCTGCTTAGTATTTTTGTGGAAACATTGATACATTTATTCAGGGTTGTTTAATGAATAGAAAGCTTAGAAGAACAGCATTATTTGAAATAGAATTTTTGTAACATTTTAAATGTCTTTACTTGTCACTTTAGATCAATTTAATGCATCCTTACAGAATAAAAGCAATACTTTTTTTATCTGTACTGTATGTCATCTCCTTTGCTGTTTTTTGGCATGTTTTATCTATAGTACAAACAATGTCTGACATGTTATGCATGTGTCACTTTTAACACTTAAACTCGTTGTAATGCAGGGAGCTCTGGAGCGGGTGGATGATGGAGACAGCCGTCTAACGCTGGTGTGTACAGAGGGTGAGAAGCTTCTTCTGCACCTCCCCAAAGCCAGCGCTGGCCAAGTCCAGCAGAACCTCTCCTCCATCCAGCAGGACTGGGACAGTTACGTGGAGCAGTGTAAACAGAACCAGCAGAACCTGGAAGAGAGCGCCAGTCTGCTCAGCGGGTGAGAACTTAACAGCGGCGTCACACCGCTGCTTGCTGGGTTAAATATTAGAGCGGCAGATTGTTTGAAACAAATTTCTGGGGATAAACGGCTTTGCTGTGGAAGAGAGAACCCACACTCTGCTCTCAAGTTGGCAGGGGGTTATTTGTCACCGAGCGCTGTGAATTGAAATCTGTGCTGTGTCTTTCTAGCTTTGAGACCCGTCTGCAGAGGTTGACCCGGTGGCTGGAACGCATGGATGTGAGGATGAGCACCGAGCTGCCTGAGGGGAGACACGGCGATCAGGAGAGAGTGACGCTGGAGCGCGTGGAAGAATTCCAACATGAAGTGCTTAAAGAGAGGTTAGAATATGTTAAACTGATAAATAGCAATCTTTTGTCCTATTTGTGTGCCCTCAGTAGGTATATAAACGGCCCACTGTTTTTTGCAACAGTATAACATTACATTTTTTAACCTTGTATACTCATTTGGAAAATATATTTTAAAATATCCTAAATAATCCCCTCCCCCACAAAATAAAAAAGAAATGAATATTTAATTTATTTAAAAATATTGATATTTCAGAAATTATATTTGTTTTATAAATGTTTTGTAATTAATAAATAATTTGTTATTATTAACATGCATGTATATATTATTTAAATCCATGCATTTTGCATTTAACATATATTTAAATCAATAAGAAAATTCTTATTCAAAATATATGTATTTTATTGTTAAATAAATGATTATTTAATATTTTATTTTATTTACTAATACATTTAGTCATTTTGGAAATTCTATTTATAAATCATTAATAAACAGTGTTTCATTATTAAAGCATGTATATTGCATTATATTTATAAATAATTAAAAAATATGTGTTATTATTAATGCATGTATTTTACATGACATTTTTAATGACATATTTACATAATCCTTATGCAAAGTATGTGTTTTTATTTTATTTATTTTTTATTTTGGGGTTTTTAATTGTAATAGTGTTTGCAAGGAAGCATGTTAAAATTCCTCATACTACAAATATTATATTTATAATATTACTATTTTATTACTAAGTTTCTTTGTTTGTTTATTCATTTATTGCATTATACTTAAACATTATTTTTGGGAATTGTGACCTGGACATGTGACCTGGTTTTTGTGAGACTCATACATATATATATACAGATCTGCTATTGACAATTTTATAGCATTCGCTCACAGTATTTTGTGTAATGTTTTCATATAATATGCAAGTAACTGTAATAAATTAAAATGCAAATAATTTTCCAATCTCTTATACTGCAGGGACTCGTTTGAGAGTCTGTGCCAAGAAGCTCAGTCTCTGAGTGAGGGGGGTCATGGCAGTGGGGCGGAGCTTCGAGTGTCTGCGCAGCTGCAGCTGCAGCATCAGGCGCTTCTCAAGGCGGCGAGGGAGAGACTGCGCATATGTCAGCTCAGCCTGCAGGAGCAGCAGAACTTTGAGGAGACGCTGCAGAGCACCTGGGGATGGCTCAGTGGTGTACAGGAGCGCCTCAATTCACTCAACAGCACCAGCGGCAATAAAGAGACTCTGGAGAAGAGACTGGGGCTGGTTCAGGTCAGAAAACACAGTCATGCCACCCAAATGAATATTCAGAGATTTTCTTTTTTTATTATGGGATTTTAAATTTTAATAGTACTCGCTAGGTGAATGTTTTTGTTGAAATTCCTCATACTTCAAATATTACTTCTCACACTCTTAATAGGGCTGTCAAAAAAATCGAATATTCGTCGAATTTAAAATAAAAATGCAAAAACGTTGCATTCGAATTTTAGGTGTGCGTTAAGGAGGCAGCCTTATCAGTGGCGCACGAGATGCGATGACGATGTAAGTGTCATTGCATTATAATGTTTTTGTTAGCCTATCCAGTTGAAGCCACGATCCGGCGCTGCTGCGTTGTTCATTAAAAATATTGCGGAAAAAGAGAACATCAATGCGGCGAAAATCTTGTTTACATCAAAACTGAAACCAAGCCGTTCACACAGAACACATATTTCACGCATTTTCTAGAGGGACATCTATTACCGTTGCACTCGCATCTTGCACAAAGGAGCCACATGTTTAGAAAGCTGTAACAGGGCTGACGAGACGTGAGACGTTCGGATCCAAATGCAAAGCTTTAATTGGAGAAGACAGGTATATGGCGGGCAAAACACAAGAATAATCCTAGGGCTAGCGTGGGTCGATGAACTGCAGACAGAGTCACAGGGGCAAGGCTAAAGGGAGGAATCCAGGAAAACAGGCGAAGATCAAAACCGGAGAAAACAGACAAGGCTAAGGCTAAGGCTGGGAAACAAATGAGGGCTCTGTAGTGTTGCTATCGCTAGGGGAGTGATAATCACTGAACACTACTCGGCAGAGGGAAGGGATCAGAGTGAGTGTTAAATAGTGAGGGAGTGATATGAAACAGCTGGGTGCAATCAGTGTAAACAGCTGTGTGCAATCCGTGCTGAGTGCAATCAGTGCAATGCATGATGGGAAATGTAGTCTGGGGTGATGTGCAACAGTGTGTAGTGCGAGAGTCGATGAAATTGGAAGTTCATGGACCGGATTCGTGACA